CGGAACCATCACGTGGTCAGCACTGGGGCAATGGTCCGACTCGCAGGGGTTTCAGAGGAGGAAAGTTTAAGGCCAAAAATGCAAATTGGTATAGAGGTGGACGCGGTGGTAGAGGTGGACGCGGTGGTAGAGGTGGACGCGGGCCACGACGAGGCCGGGGTGGCGGTTCGCCCGGTAGCGGCCGTCGCAACGTATTTAATACATTCAATTATTATTAGTATTAGTCCCACAAATGGTGTAAATAAGTATAATATATTACACCTAAATTCATATCTCATTTGTTTTTATAAAACTTTTTTAATGTATGTTTTGATAATAAATCTAAAATAAAAACTGATTTAAATTTAGCAAATATTTTCCTATCGAGAGAGAGAGAGAGAGAGAGAGAGAGAGAGAGAGAGATCCCAATGGTTAATTGCCCTAGTATTAAATTAAAATAAATAAAATGGCTAGGCATAGATTTCAAACACTATAAGAATGCTGTTGTTTTATACCAACACAATACATGTGAATTTGTAAAAGTAATTTGTTATCAATGTCTAACGGAGTTAGAGTTAAAATACATGTGTATAAAATAAGTTTATTAGAAGATAGTTTATAAAAGATATTAAGAATATTAGAAAATAAGAAAATAGTTTATTCTAGAAATGTGTGTACAGTATATGTGTAATTGTCGGCAGTGTTTGTGCTTAATATTATTGTAGTGAAAATAGGGTTAATTTATTTTAAATAAAGCTTTAAATTCATATGAATTAATTTCACAAAATAATAAAATATAAATTCTATGTAATAGTTTATTTTACTTATACAAATTATTTTTATAAATTAATTAAATTTTCAATTATAAAATTCATATATTTAATCAATAATAAGAAGCCATATGTGAAAACAATATCAGACTTACAAAAACAAAATAAACCTCAACTATCACCAGGGCATCAAAATGAAGTCTATTGTAGTGGTGTTGGCAGTCATACTAGCCCTGTACGTCTGGATGGTGGACCACGTTCATGGCCACGATGTGGTAAACAGAATTGACCGGGTGAAACGGGCCGTATCGGGTAAACCATGTAAAAATATCGACGAATGTGGGGGCTATCCAAACGTCTGTCATAAGGATGTATGTCAAAAAAAGACTGAAAAATGTGACCTGAAAGTTCATCGTACCAAAACGTGCTCCAAGGAAAATCAACTCTGTCCCCCTGGCGGATATACTTGCAGTGTGCGCTCCAATAGCTGTATAAAAACTGTTTGCAAAACAACATACACCGTGGTAGCGGATGGCAATAAAGAGCAAGGTAAAGATAAACCGGCGACTAACGATGGCCAGTGTTCTGGTCATGACAAATGTGGCAAAGACGAGTACTGCCATAAATTGAAAAAGGACAAATTTCATAAATGCCATTAACTGTGTAATTTTGGCAACCGCGGTCCACGTATCGATGGCTGTCCGTACGGCCATTACTGTAATGAAGGTACAAAATGCGAAGAAAAAATTTGTAATTACGACAATCAGTGTGATGGCGGTCTTGTTTGTGCGCGGAATCAACGATGCCAAAAAACAAAGCGTGGCTAGCGATGAGTACTTTAGTATTTGCCACCCCCAATCATGCAAACACACATCGCGTTAAGCATGTTTATTTATCAAGATAATAAGCTCTAATTAAGTTTTAAAAAAAATATTTATTTAACAATTGTATTGTTGTTTTAAATTTAAATTAAATATTTTCTAATTGTGTATTATTACTAATGTATAATGCGTTAAATAAATATAATGATTTAATTTAATTTGCAATTTATTCTTAATTTTATTTTGGTATTAACAAGAAATGCCATTTGGGCCAATACTGCTTACATATTATAAAGCATATTATAAATTCCATAGACAATTTTTCAATGTTAATCTAACCAATAGCATTATAACTTAAATAATATAAGCGACCTTAGTTATGACTTTTTATTTATTTATTAGGCATATTTTATATCAAGTGCAAGTGTTACTTTACAAGTTTTATCATTTAAAATTAACAAAGTGCTTTTAGATATTTCTATAAAATATTGTGATATAATTATTATGAGACTTGTGTGGCATTAGATAATGTGTGAAAATGTGAAAATGACCAACGTGGATTATAATCCCAAGCAAACTCTCAAGTGATGATAAAGTGATCCCGGCAAAATCTTTACATAATAATTAATTACTATGCAACAAGCTGCAAAACAAATTCCATCTAGCTCATATATAAATACAGTACAAACCACCCAATCACATTCATTGTTAAAGTTTAACATTTTTACGCAAACAATGTTAAAGTTAACCGCATTAGTACTACTACTGGGCGCGTGTGTTAGCCCGTTATGGGCCGACACGTGCGAAATGTCGGTCACTGAGCGCAAGGACTGCGGCGACATTCACACCACACCCGACAGTTGCGTGGCTAAGGGCTGTTGTTGGCAAACGACCACGGTGCCCAACGAGCCCAACTGTTTTTTTAAAAAAGCCGGACCAGGGCCAGGGCCGGGCCCGGGAGGCAAAAAAGTCTACATTCATATGATGCCGTGGTTCGAGACCAAGACCTCGGGTGGCGGCCAATGGGGTGTCCACTGGCGTATGAACACCAAAAACCCGGACATTGTCGAGGGGGGCAAACGACAAATCGCATCCTACTATCACCCCCTGATAGACGCTTACGCCTCCGGCGATACCCACGTTATTGATTGGCAATTGGGCTTGATGAAATTGTCCGGCGTGGCCGGCGTGCTGGTGGACTGGCCAGGTACGTCGGGCAAAATGGATTATGGTGCCAATATGCGCAACGCCGAGGCTATTATATCGCGCACAGCCGCCCACGGGTTGGAGTTTGGCGTCGTTTACGAAGATAATAATTTTAAGCTAGCTGGCATTACCGATCATATTGGTCAGGGTACACGCGACATGCAGTACGTGAAGGACCGGTATATGTCCCAGGGTAACTACGCTAAAATGAACGGTCTGCCCCTGTTTATGGACTTTGGCCCGCAAGTGCTCGATGGCAACGAATGGTCCCAGATTTTTAGCCCCTATAACCCTAAGCCCGAGTTTATCCGATTGTGGTATCAGCAAAAATCTACCGGTGGAATGTCCCAGGGCGAATTTGCCTGGCCTTCTCCGGACTTTATTGGTGGTCTTAACAACTTTTATAACAAGTAAGTTAACTAAAATTTAAAAAAAACTTGACAAACAAATAGTTTAAACTAAAATTACTGTTTAACTTTGCGCTAGTTTAGAAAACTTACTAAATTTAGCTTAAAAGGGAAATATAAACTCTGACAACGTATTTAAGCGCTAAAAATGATACTAAAATATACTTCACGATTAGGTGAAACCATCTAGCTTTAAAATTTAGGCCAACGGGCATATTTAGCATGTTTAATGGCCACAATTAGAGTAAGAATTTGGTTTCAAAGTCTTGATTTTTGCGCCAGTATTTTAATGATATTTTATTCATATCTACAGTCATTTCACCTTACTCATAATCAATAGACATAAATACCATATTCATATATGAATACTCTAAAACATTGTTCATAATTGGGTTTACTATCAATTCCATTCAGATTTTTAATCATTTTACCTTACACATTGATTAATTTGCAAATAGATAGTAATATAAAGTATGAATATGGTATTTATGTCTATTGATTATGAGTAAGATGAAATGATTGTAGATATGAACAAAATATCCTCACAATACTGGCGCAAAAATCAAGACTTTGAAACCAAATTCTTACTCTAATTGTGGCCATTAAACATGCTAAATATGCCCGTTGGCCTAAATTTTAAAGCTAGATGGTTTCACCTAATCGTGAGGTATATTTTAGTACCATTTTTAGCGCTTAAATACGTTGTCAGAGTTTATATTTCCCTTTTTAATAGTAACAGCTAAATTAATTATTAATTGATGTATTTTTAAATAATTAACAGAGGTGGCGTAAAAGTGGGTTGTGCCTACTCGGGTTTCAACTCGTTCTACAAGGAGGGTGGTTGGGATCCCATTAACTGGTCAATCCCGGTCAATACAAACAACTTCCAACAGACACTGGACCTGGCGCTGCAACACACGGACGTGGTGCAAGTGGCCACCTGGAACGATTACGGCGAGGGCACCCAGATTGAGCCCACGTTGGAATTTCAGTACCAATTTTTGACCATATTGCAAAAGAAAATGGGTGTCCAATACACCGAGGCCGATTTGAAAAAGGTGACCGATAACTATTTCCACCGGGTGGCCAATTTAAATAACGCCACCGTGTTGGCAGCGCTCGAGAAGGAGCACTTTGATCTTGTTACTAAATACGATAATTAAGTGACATATGTTGTAAATTTTAAGCCATGTTTGTTAAATAAAAATACGCATTATTTGGTCATTTATTAATAATTTGTTTTTACAATTAATCAATATAACTAAAGGAAATGTAAATTGGGGGAAAAACGAGTATATAGTGCTTTGCTCTCCCCCAACTATATAGCAACTATATAGCACTAACGCTAATACACCGATAAACTTTTAGTGCGCATGCGCGCGCTGTGGACTCGTTTTTACTAAAAGAGATTAAGTTATAAGTTAGGGATAGACATATGAGTGAACATTTTGAAAAGCATATTCCGGAATTTAATTAAAATGATAATTAGTATTCAGTAATTTATTGATTAGGCGGATATGGATGGCAAACAATTTATATAATTTAAATTAAACAACTATCTGTATAAACAAACATTTATGCATTGTATTGTTCCCAATTATCACAGTAAACAAATTATGCAAGATCTTAATCCAATTAATAGTACTACAATGTGATTAAAAAATATAAACTTTTTATTATAAACTTGACAAAGTTCGTTTGAAATTGATAAAAACTTTTAGGAATTTTCAATAGTTATTGCTATATTATCATTTCAAGGCCCAAGATTATTATTATAGTTTTTTTAATACATTCCTTAAACGTTGTTTTTATCATGATTTAATTCAGCTATTATAATTTAAATCACACATTCCTTTAATGAATAATAGTGAAAAATGATAATATTTAAAATATGAGCAACTTTAGTTATTACTATTTATTTACTGTATTTATTGGGCATATTTTATCTACAGGTCTTATCATTTAAAAGTAACAAAGAGCTTTTAGATATTTCTAAAAATTATTGTGATAAAATTATTAAGAGACTTGTGTGGCAGTAGATTAATAATAAAAATGACCAACGTGAATTTATAATCTCAAATTATTCTATTTAAAAAACACATACATTATTTTGATAACATAATAAAATAGAATTAAATGATTTACACAAGTAAATTGAAATAAGGTAGTTTGAAATTAACAATGCTAGGGTATATAAAGCCAATAAATTTGTCAAGCCTTATTAATACATTAAGTTTTAATAAAACATTGTATTATAAAAACAATGAAAGTGTTGTGTTTGTTGTCGTTATTGTATTTAGCGGTTAATTCATTGCCAGCCAATGAGTTTACTGGTAAGAAGTGGGTTGTATTAGTAGCTGGGTCAAATACGTGGGGCAATTATAGACACCAGGTAATTTCTAACTACCTTATTTCAATTTACTTGTGTAAATCATTTAATTCTATTTTATTAT